AATTTTGATTGCCTGAACTCTGAGTACTTGAGGAACAATATTGAAACATCCAACTATACAGTTGAATTTGCCTAATTTTCACTATAATTTACTCAATTCATGCTTTATATATTTTGAAGCTGTTTTATATGGTGCAAACTTATTTACAGTTGTGCTTATATCTTCTTAGAAACTGCAGTTTTTACCTTCAAACATTGAATCTGTGTATTTTTTAACTTGCTTTCTGTTCTAAAGTCTCTATGTCCTGACATATCTGTATGCATGTATGCCTGTATGCCTGTCTATATTAATGCACAGACTAGCTTCTTTAATTAACATTTTCCTGATAGTTTTCTATTCTCATGTAGTTTTTATTTTCTGTTAAGTTCAATATCTACATAAGGTTTCAATTTATTATTCAATATGTCTGATTAAAATGTTATCCCTTCAAACATTATCATTCATAATTTGCATATTTGTAAATTAACTATATTTCAGTTTATTCATTCAGATTTCCTTTTGTTTTACCCAATGGCTTTTTTCTGTCCAAGGGTTTTTTCCAGGATACCTCATTACATTAGGTATTAGGACTCCTTATACTTCTTTACAATGCCTTTTTTTTTTAATTTTAGTTGTCTCAAAATTTCTATGCTTTCTGTGTTCATTTTGCCATGTTTAGTTTTACTACTTTTTTTTTACTTTCTTGGCCACATTTAGTTTTTAACTGAATTTGTATTTATTTCTTTTTGTCTGTGTGATTGGTTTTTCTTTATTCCACTATTTCCTTCAGGGATTTAGTGTATATGTACATGTTATTTCCCTTTAGTGATGATCCTTGCATTTTCATCATACCTTTTTAAGGTTTAACAATACCTGGGCCACCTTCCCCCCTAAGTATCAGGGTTTACAACCCAATTAACTTACGAAGTATTTTTTAAAAAAATTTATTTCTGTCATCTTTACTCTTTACATTACAAAGTACTACGATGACTTTATTCATCCAAAAATAGTACCTATCATTGCTTTTGTTTATTAGTAATTTCTGGGGTTTTTTTTTGCTTGTGTGTGTGTGTGTGTGTGTGTGTGTGTGTGAGAGAGTTTCCTTCTGAAATAATAGTAATTTCCTTTTGAATTATATTCTCTTCCTTAAGATATATATAAGGACAGTTCTCTACCCACTTTTGTTAAGCATTTAATATTTATATAATACTCATAATTTCATTGTGATACATAATACACATAAACTATATACATGAAATGTGGATGAAGAGTGTATTGAATGGACATTTAAGAAGGTCACAAACTCTCTTTGCCAGAGAACTTGTTTTTGTGACCCTTCTCCATCACATGCCTCTTCCTTCCAACCATCATTTAGAATTTAATGATCATCATTTCAGTGCTTTACTTTTCATTAAAGTTTTACCTCTTATGCATCCTTACACAATACAGTGTGACTGTTTTCTCCCTCTATATAATTTGCAATCATATGGTTTATACAGTTTTGTAACTTGGTCTAGTACTTATAAATTGTTTTCATTGATTTTAGTGTTAATTTTACAAATATTAAGGTATGTCCATTCTTAGTAAATGAAAATTGAAGTTTATATCAGCTTTTAATTGTCAAGACTCACTCACTTATGACTTTCCTTGCATGTGTGCCTGCATTTCAGCAGGGGGTATGTATACCAATGAGTGAGTTTGCTATGCCTTGAGGTGTATATGTATATATAACTTTTAAGTCAGAATATCTTACTTCCTTTGGATTTTCTTATCCTTCAGTAGTCTTTTTGTGTGTTCTACACGTTTATCTGTCATTTCGTCAGCATTCATTTCTGTGAATTGCCAGCAGTTTATCATCAATATGATAGAAAACTAGGGGATATGCTCGTTTTCCAGTAACGTAAGTTTTCTCAAATTGACACAAGTCTTGTAAAGAAGACCCTCAGAGATCTAGTCTTTCAAGTAAAGCAGTAGGTGTGTTGTTTCTGTTTCTTGTGGCTGGAAATCCTCCTATTTGTGGAGTTTATCAGTGTCAAAAGTTACCTGGTTCTAGTGGAACTTTTGGGGGTTTCCCACCCAATTGGATTGGATTGTTTCATAAAGGACTTTTAACAGAATGACAGTATTGAGAATCATATCTTTTCTTCACTTAACTATGGAATAAAATTACTTGGTTCCGAATTCCAGAAGCCAGTGATTATCAGAGGAAATTCAGGGCCAGTGGATAAAATCAGCTATGTAAGTGGTCAGAGATGCCTGCAGTGCATGGGATCCTACTCAGATATGGTGTCCAATGGTGGGCCTTCCCCCCTTTATCCTGGGTTCTGTTTTTTTAGAATTCTTGTTGCTGAGCTCCACTTGTCCCCCTTTTTTGCTTTTCTGGAAATTCAGTATAGAAGCATATCAAGGACATTATTTGGAAGGTAAAATACGTCTTTAGTTGTGTATAAGTCGTACACAGTGCTATCAGTTTTCTCAGTGTAGGCCATTAAAACGTCTTATGATTATGACTCAATATTTATATACTCAATAGTGTTCTGCATTTTACAAGAATTGGTATAATTGAGCAATAACACATCATGTCGGAGTCCAGCACAGTCAACCTGTCCTCTAAGCCTTGCCTGATGAAATTAAAATGAATTTGGTCAACTTCCCAGAATGCTATGAAAAGTATCAACAATACCCAGTACTGTACACCAAAGCCACTAGTGCAAAAAACAATTTAATTATTGTTAATTTGTCGGTCATTGTGGAAACAATGGTTTCTACTTTTTCTTTTTTTTCAATTGAAGTATATAATTTGACATATATCAATTTCTGGACTAAAACATAGCCATTTAATATTTGTATACACTGTATACAAATCACACCAGAAGTCTAGTTACCATGGCTCACCGTAAGAAATACAAAAAATTTATTTTTTGTTCTAAAGACTTTTGAGATTTACTCTGTTGGTAACTTCTAAATAAACACTACAATCTTATTGCCTGGAGTCACCATGCTGTTCATTACAGCCCCATGACTTATTTGTCTTATGACTGGAAATTTGTACCTCTTGAACCCTCTCAACCATTTCATCCAACTCAGGCCCTTTCTCTCTCTCTTCTCCTTGTGATACCCCTATAAATGTGAATGTTAGTACGCCCAATGTCCCAGATGTCTCTTAACCTGCCCTCCTTTCTTTGCATTTTTTTCCTTTGTTCTGTTCAGCAGCAGTGGTTTCCACTACTACGTCTTCCAGCTCACTGGTCCTTTCTTCTGAATCATTTGGTATATTATTGAGTCCTTCTACTTCTTTTTCATTTCAGTTATTGTGTTCTTCATCTCTGGTTAGTTCTTTATATTTTCTGACTCTTTTTTACAAAAATAATAAAGCTTCTACATTCTCCCTCTGTGCATCCATTCTCCTCACAAGTTCTTTGATCATCTTTACTATCATTACTCTGAGCTCTTTCTGGAGTAGATTGCCTACCTCCAGCTCACATTGTTTTTCTTCTGGTGTTTTATCTTGTTCCTCTTGTCTGGGACATATGCCTCTGCTGCCTCACATTGTTTGAGTTGCTGTTTGTGTTTTTATATATGTGGTAGGTTAGCTACGTCTCAGGATCTTGGGGAAGTGTCCTGTAGGAGATGTGATGTGCATCCCAGCAGTGTGCACTCCCCTCG